ATGATAGTGTGTGAGTGTGGGGAAAATGTTTTAATGATGTAAAGTTTTTCTTTTTGGGGGGTTTTTTTCTTTTTTTTTTGGTCCCCCCCCCTCGGGGGGAACGGCCGACTTGTTTAGAAAAAAAAAAAGAAAATTATTTTTATTATTATTATTATTATTTTAAAATTATACGAATATTTAAATTCTTCTTTTAACAAATCAGCCCTATCCCCTTAAAGGGAGGGGGGCCCAAAAAGAAAAAAGAAAGTTTCGCTTTTAAATTTAGAAAATTTTTTTCAGGAAAGGGTTACAGCCCCTTTCCCCGCATTTTTGCGCCCTTACAACATGCATGGCTTTCCCGGGGAAAAATTCTGTTCCACTTCCCCATGGAAAATTTTAATTTTTTTTTATTATTTTTCATACGTATTATAATTATTACAGTATTTTATTATTATTTTTATTATTATTTTTGTTATTATTATTAATTTAAAAAAGCAGATTAAATGTGGGGGAGAAGTTTGTGGTTTAAGAGGGGGGGGGCAGGAGGAAAGAGGAGTGATTGTGGGATGAAGAAAGGGGGATAAAAAAGAAAAAAAGGAGCTTTTCGAGAGGTTTTTTTTCAAAGCAAAGTTTATAAGAAGACAGATAAATGGGAATAAAAGAAAGGTGAAGAGAGTGGTGAGGAGTGAAAAGGAGACAGAGAAAGATGGGAGAGGCACTGTCAAGAAATTTTTAAAGAAAAAAAAAAATTTGGGGTGAGTTAAACAAATAAAAAAGCCTAGGGAAAGATGGATTTGTCCGTTAAAAAGAGTAGGGGGGTTTGTAGATGGGGAGAGGAGGTATTAGGAGATGCGAGTATTTTGAGGAACAAATGTTTAGGAAGAAAAGGGGGGGCGGGAATTTCTGACTGGCCCGGAGGGAAAACCCCTTTTAGGAGTGAAAAAGAGCAAAGAAAAGGTTTTTGGGGTACGGGGGCATTTCGTAGAATGAAAGGGGGTAAAGCAGCGGAATGATGGGATCAGACGAAATGTTTTAAAAGCGGGGGGGAATTTTGTTTGGAGTGGTTTGGGACTTTTGTTTTTAAAAATGATGAAAAGGGGAAGGTACCCGGGATTGGCGGAGAGCATGTATATCCCTTTTTTAAAAAAAGGGAAAGGGACAAAAGAGATGTAAACTTATTCCCTAAATTTTTACAGGTATACCGGGAAAAATATACGGTAGGGTTTTAATTGAAAAAATTGAGGGAAGCAGAATGTAGAATTTCGGAGGGGCAAGGAGGGTTCAGGTGGGTAGGGGAGTGAGACAAATGTTTTTTCTTGAAGCATATTTTTTTTTTTTTTTTTTTTTTTTTTTTTTTTTTTTAACAAATCGGCCGCTCCCACCGACATATATGTGAAAAGATTTAGATAAAGGAGGGAAGTTTTTTTTGCATTTAGGATTTAGAAAAGGCATATGATATGGTAAGGAGCAATGTGGCAGATGTTGCCAAGTTTATGGAAAAGGTGGTAAGTTTTCTAAATGCTGTAAAGACTTTTATGAGGGTATGAGGCTCAGGGTTTGGGGTTGGGAAAGAGGGGGAGAATACTTCCCGGGAAAAGTAGGTCTTAGACGGGATGGTAATGTCACCATGGTTGTTTTATATATTTATGATGGGGGGTTTTAAAGAAGTAAATGCTAGGGTGTTCGGGGAGGGGGTGGGATTAAATTATGGGGGAAACAAATCAAAAAAGGAAATTTACACAGTTATTTTTGCTGATGATACGTGTTATGGGGGAAATTTTAAAGAAAATTCAAAAGTTAGTGGATGAGTTTTTAAATGGTTAAAAATAGAAAGTTAAAGTTTAACAAGAAAAAGTAAGGTGAAGGGGATCAAATGATTTAGTAAAGAAAAATTGGATATCAAATTTAGGGGGAGGATATGAAGAAGTGAATTTTTTCAGATACTTGGGGGTTGACGTGCGGGGGATGGTTTATGAAGGATGGGGTTAAACAAAGAATTATAGGGAAAAAAGGTGGGGGTGCTTGAGGTATATGGGATCAAAAAAAGTTATCTAGGAGGCAAAGGGGAATTTTAAAATAAGTAGTACCAACACCTTAAAGGTTGAAGCTTGGGTGGTAAATGCAGCACAGGGGACGGTTTGGGGGCTGGAAGTCCCGTCTAAGGGGAATGTGTGGTGTAATATTATGCAGAAAATTCGGAGGTGGAAAATTTGGAGAAGGGTGGAGTTAATAAAGCATTATCAAAGGGGAGAAGAGGGGGTTGTTGAGGTGGCTGGTCATTAGAGAGAATGGATCAAAATAGAAGACATGGAAAGCAATAAATCTATAGGGGAAGGAAAGGGGGGTTAGGGGTCGTCCTCGAAAGGGTTGGGAAAAAGGGGGTAAAGAAAGGTTTTTTTGGCAGGGGCTTGGACTTCCCCGCAAGCGGATGAGCGTGTTAGTAGGGGTGAAGGAGACGAAGATACTTGGACCTGACAAATTTTGGAGTGTGAGCAGGGTAAATTTGTGAAGGGAATCAGGGGAAAACCGGTTTTTTTTATAGTCGGACTTGAGTCCCGGGAAAGGAAAACAAAGCCCGCCTTTTAAAAGGAGTGGTTTTGGGATTTGGCAGTTTGGAGGGTAGTTGTTTCTTTTTACGAATGCTTCTAAGCTGTTGTATTTTGAGCACCTCTGCAAAAGCAGTTTAATGTGGAGTGTGGTGAAAGTGTTGAATAGATGAAAGTATTTTCTTTTTTGGGGGTTTTTTTTCTTTTTTGGGGCACCCTGCCTCGGGGGGAGCACCCATTGGAAAAAAAAAAAAAAAAAAAATTAATTTAGGGAACTGGGGCACGATCCAGTTCCCCAGATCAAGAGGCATCCCCACGACATACAGGCCCCCCCATCACAAAACCGGGATCATGGGACTGTAGTTCCGGGTTACTGAGTTTTGCCCATCATAGGGTTAGGTTTAAATACACTTAAAAAAATAATAATAAAAAAAATTTGATGGGGGCATTTGAAGCCGAGGTTCCCGATGATGCCTAGGGATTGGACAAAGGATAGTTCTTGGTTTTACGCTGCCCTTTTGTTGTGTGGGGATTGCTGTGGTGGACAAAATAAGGAAAACCCCAGGGACAAATTTTTAAAGGATAATTGAGAGAGAAACAATGTTGTACCGTACATTTAAAAAAGTTTATTTCTTTTTACATAGGAAAAATTTTTTATGGAGAAAGGGGTTACAGCCCATAGCTGAATCTTTCTTTCTTCTTTTAATGTACCACCGTAGCAAACATCCAGGATACACCTTTGATGGGTTTTATGAGTTTTTCTACTCCTGGAGCCTTGCCTTGGGGCAGCCTTGTATCACTGAACAACTACCCCACAGGACCATATATCACCCAGGACCAGTAACTTAATCCCCAGACCACAACTCCCACCGAACAACTATCAGCACCTACATGTAGTATGAGTGTGTAATGGAAGCCTGATAGTTATTCTGCACTTTTGACAGGATTGCCTTTTTTTTTTTTTTTTTTTTTTTTTGTTTCTAGAAGGCTTAAGATGACAGCTTCCTTTAAGGGAGGTGCTTTGATACTGATAATAGACTCTTGATCCAAGGAACTGAAACTACTCTTCCTTTCCTTGAATGGAATCTGATTGCTTCCCATTTCCCTGGCACTATATGACTCGTGTGAGTTTAGTGCTATCCCTCTAAATGTAATAACAAACTCATACTTACACTCACTCTTCACATATATTTACATTCCTGTGTGCTTATCAGTAGTCCTGTAATATTTCCTTCCTAATTTAAGAGAGCTGGTGTGAGTCTGAAAGATTAGACAGTGAGGAAAATTATTGCAGAAGCAGTGATATGTAACATGTTTATTTTATGTGTGGTTCATGTCAGTGACGTTCCAAGTGAAGGCGTGCTTAGTAATATAGGCATAGAATTAGTAACAGAAAGTGAAAAAATATTTGCATGGGGCATTGTGTTACATTTACCATGCATTAAGAGCTGAAGAATAGAATTTACATTTGGTTGGAAGAGAATCTTAAATTCAGTACAAAATGAGTTGAAATTGAAGGTTAATATTGTATGAACTCACTGAATCATCTACAAGGTTCCCATAACCATTATTACTGGGTATTAAGGCAGTTATATTTGCATAATGTTGGTGCAGGGAAGCTGTGGTGAGCTTGAGTTAGTGTCATCATTGTACATACAGTGTTGTGCCATACATTATAGAAGTGCTTCTTGGTCATGATATAAGCACAATGTTATCTTGCTCAGGATGTGAGTCTTAAACGTTTGCAGGTCAAAATAGCCTCAGTTGATAAACTTTTCTATTGTTTTTTTACAATTAAGTCTGTATGCTCTTATTCTACTTAACAGGATTTTTAAAACACATCTTTTAACTTTTTACATTCTGTGTGTTTCCCACTGAGGGAGAGTGACCCAACAAAGAGGAAAACACTCTCACTGTCTCTCATTCAATCACTGTCTTGCCAGGAAGGTGATGACATCACAGTTTAGATGATGCTCCAAACTGCAACATCCTCACTCCTCCTTCAGAGTGCAGGCACTATACTTCCCACCTCCAGGGCTCAAGTCCTCAGTCCTCAGAATAATACTTTTGATTTCTCTACACCTCCTCCCAATCTCCAAACTCCAAATTCTCTACATAGTATTCACATCACACCTTGCCATCAGACATGACACCTCCACTGCCTCCAGCCCTCAGACATGACACCTCCACTGCCTCCAGCCCTCAGACATGACACCTCCACTGCCTCCAGCCCTCAGACATGACACCTCCACTGCCTCCAGCCATCAGACATGACACCTCCACTGCCTCCAACCTCCTCACTGCAACATTCATATTCCATGCCCTATACCCATACATTAGTGTTGGCACCACTATACTATTCTTAACAAGCTATATAACTTGTAAATTGAGTCTTTTATTCTTATTAACAGAACATTTAAATCAAATTAAATAATTTATTACAAAGGTTGTAATTTCTAAATGACATTTTTTCAGAGCACCAACTATTATTGGTTACATGCCATTTGAAGTCTTGGGAACATCTGGATATGACTACTATCACGTAGATGACTTGGATAAGATTGCAACGTGTCACGAACAATGTAAGTTACTAGCTTAACAATGATTGTTTAACTTTTGGAAGTTGTTGCTTAAAAACGAGAGTAATCATTAAGGATTTGCTAGGATTTTTATGTAATTCACCTGCAAAATTCCCATCTTCTTCATGAAATTAGTTCATTTTTTAATTCTTCTAACAAGTTATTCCACATTTTTAGTACTGTTATTTGCATCAAACTTTTATAGAGGCTTAGATGAACACAATGAATATCAAAGAAGTACAGTAATAACCCACCTGGAGACAAACTTAGGAAGTTGATTGATCTATATATTTCAATTCTGGGATCCTCTTCTGCTGAAGAGGATCCTAGAAGGTAGTCAAAATATACAGATTGATGAACCTCCTGAGTTATTATTGGGTGGGTTAATATTGAGCATTGACAAGCGTTCATTACACTTTAGTTATTCATTAAAGAAGTGTTTATTTTGTGTATGTTGCCTTTGTGTTGTGTTAAACTTGTCCAGAGAGTCTTTGGTCAGCATCTGCATTACAGTGTAGTATTTGAAAGGTGTGTAGGGAACAGTAATAAGTACAGTGGAACCTTGGCTTACAAATTTAATCCATTCTGTGACCTTGTTTGTATCCTGAGTTGTTCATATGCTGAGTCAATTTTCCTCATTTAAATTAATTGAAATGCAATTAATTCATTCCAGCCTCTCAGGAGACATGACAAAATAATGCTAATATCAACTCTATGGCTTAGTTATCTATCACAGTTTATCTAATATGACATAATAAACAATATTAATAACATAGAAACATGATATATACTCTAGAATGAATACAAGAGGCCATAATATCGCAAGTGATGGCGACACCGGCAGCGGCAGAAAGCATCCGCCGTTTACTCTCCCACTCTAGTATCTTCCCAGTCCATAACCCCACTCCTAGCTTGTGTTTATCTATGATTAGTGGTGAGGCTGTCACATATGTAACCACAGGTGAAGACATGATCACTGTGGCCACAGTGGTGGTGGCAGCATCCACAGTGGCTGTGGTGGCAGTGGCCGTAGTGGTGGTGGTGGCGGCCAGCTGCTCCACTCTGTGCTGCTGCCTTCTTTGTTTCTCTAGCTTTTTTCATAGTTTTTAATCTCTTCTCGAGCTTCTTGCTGATTGTACGCAAATACTGTCTCTTTGGGCAAGGCATTGTGTAAGAAATTTGTACAATATAAGATAAAATTACGCATCCCAAGGGTCTGCTGCGGTCACTCAGAACGGTACACCTCGTCTTCCTTTTGACCCTTGGTTGGCACTGAGATAGCTGTGGTCGTAGCAGCTGTACCTACAGCCACCCAGAGGGTTACCAATTTCTATTTTGAAGCATTTGCCACAAAAATATGAAAAAAAAATATATGAAAAATGTAATAAAGTTGGTAGAATTACCGACAATATGTAAAGTAAAAGGACACAAGTGCAACTAATGTGACATTTATTGTGGCAACGTTTCGCTCTCCAGGAGCTTTATCAAGCCATTTGGGAATGGCTTGATAAAGCTCCTGGAGAGCGAAACGTTGCCACAATAAATGTCACATTAGTTGCACTTGTGTCCTTTTACTTTTTCTTCTTTCAACACACCGGCCGTATCCCACCGAGGCGGGGTGGCCCAAAAGGAAAAACGAAAGTTTCTCCTTTTACATTTAGTAATATATACAGGAGAAGGGAGTTACTAGCCCCTTGCTCCCGGCATTTTAGTTGCCTCTTACAACACGCATGGCTTACGGAGGAAGAATTCTGTTCCACTTCCCCATGGAGATAAGAGGAAATAAACAAGAATAAGAACTAGAAAGAAAATAGAAGAAAACCCAGAGGGGTGTGTATATATGTGCTTGTACATGTATGTGTAGTGTGACCTAAGTGTAAGTAGAAGTAGCAAGACGTACCTGAAATCTTGCATTTTCAGAGACAGAAAAAAGGACCCGCAATCCTACCATCATGTAAAACAATTACAAAGGGTTTCGTTTTACACTCACTTGGCAGGACGGTAGTACCTCCCTGGGCGGTTGCTGTCTACCAACCTACTACCTATTGTCCTTTTACTTTATATATGAAAAATGTCTAAAAATGATGACATATTATTATTACTATTGTATTATATTATTATTATTATTATTATTATTATTATTATTATTATTATTATTTTATTTTTTTTTTTTTTTTTTTTTTTCAACAAGTCGGCCGTCTCCCACCGAGGCAGGGGACCCAAAAAAGAAAGAAAATCCCCAAAAAGAAAATACTTTCATCATCTTTCAACACTTTCACCACACTCGCACATTATCACTGTTTTTGCAGAGGTGCTCAAAAATACAACAGTCTAGAAGCATAAACATATAAAGATACACAACATATCCCTCCAAACTGCCAAATCCCAAACCCCTCCTTTAAAATGCAGGCATTGTACTTCCCATTTCCAGGACTCAAGTCCGACTTTATGAAAATAACGGGTTTTCCCCGAATCCCTTCACTAAATATTACCCTGCTCACACTCCAACAGATCGTCAGGTCCCAAAGTACCATTCGTCTCCATCACTCCTATTAACACGCTCACGCACGCTTGCGGAAGTCCAAGCCCTTACCCAGTTGTAGGTTTGGTAGACAGCAACCACCCAGGGAGGTACACCGTCCCGCCAAGTGAGTGTAAACGAAACCTGTGATTGTTTTGCATGATGGTTTGGATTGGATGTCTTTTGTCTGTCTCATAAATATGCAAGATTACAGGCATGTCTTGTACTTCTACTTACACTTAGGTCACACTACACATACATGTACACATTTATTTATACACACTCATCTGAGTTTTCTTTGATTTTATCTTAATAGTTCTTGGTCTTATTAATTTTCCTTTTATATCCATGGGGAAGTGGAATAAGAATCTTTCCTCCGTAGCCCTGGTGTTGTAAAAGTCAACTAAAATGCCGGGAACAATGGGCTAGTAACCCTTTTCCTGTAAAGATTACTAAAAGAATAAGAAGAAGAAAAATTATTATTATTATTATTATTATTATTGTTGTTATTTCATATGTCGGACTTGAGTCCCGGGGAAAAGGGAAGTACAATGCCTGCACTTTAAAGGAGGGGTTTGGGATATTGTCAGTTTGAGCGATATGTTGTGTATCTTTATATGTGTATGCTTCTAAACTGTTGTATTCTGAGCACCTCTGCAAAAGCAGTGATAGTGTGTGAGTGTGGTGAAAGTGTTTTAAATTGATGATAAAGTATTTTTTTTTTGGGGGATTTTCTTTTTTTTTTTTTTGGGTCCCCTCCCTCGGTGGGAAACGGCCGACTTTTTGAAAAAAAAAAAAAGAAAAAAAAATTATTATTATTATTATTATTATTTTACTTAGTACGAAATTATTAAAAAATTTTTTCTTTCAACAAATCACCCATTTTCCCTTTAAAGGCAGGGTGGCCCAAAAAAAAAAACAAAAAGTTTCGTTTTAAAAAAATTTAGAAATTTATACGGGAAAGAAGGGTTACAAACCCCCCTTGCCCCGGGCATTTTAGCGCCCTTACAACATGCATGGCTTCCCGGGAAAAAATTCTGTTCCATTTTTCCCCAGGGAAAAAATTTTAAAATTCTTTTTTTTATTATTTTTAAATCATACGTATTTTTAATTATTACAGTTTTTTAAAATTTTTTATTTTTATTTTTAAATTTTTGTTATTATTTTTAAATTTAAAAAATGCAGATTAAATGGGGGGCAGAAGTTTGTGGTTATGGGGAGGGGGGGGGGGCAGGAGGAAAGGGGGAGTGTTTGGGTGGTTGAAAAAAGGGAAAAGGGGTGATAAAGAAAAAAAAGGAATTTTTACGAGAGGTTTTTTTACAAAGCAAAAGTTTTATAAGAAGAGCAGATAAATGGGATAAAAAAAAGGTGAAGAGAGTGGTGAGAGATTTGAAAAGGAGACAGAGAAAGATGGGGGGAGGCACTGTCAAAAAATTTTTAATGAAAATAAAAAAAAATTTTGGGAGTGAGTTAAACAATTTAAAAAAAGCCTAGGGAAAGAATGGGATTTGTCCGTTAAAAAGATTTAGGGGAGTTAGTAGATGGGGAAAAAAGGGGGGGGTTATTAGGAAGTTTGCAAAATTTTTGAGGAACAAAAAATGTTGAGGAAGAAAGGGGGGCGGAAAATTTCTGACTGGCCAGGGGGAAAAACCCACTTTTAGGAGTGAAAAAGGGAGCAAAGAAAGTGTTTGGGGGGTACGGAGGAAATTACTTTAAGAATGAAAGGGGGAAAAGGCAGGGGGAAAAATAAATGGGATAAAGACAAAAAATGAAAAAAGGGGCGGGGGGGATTTAGTGTTGGAGTGGTTGGTACTTTTTTTTTAAAAAATTTGAATGAAAAGGGGAAGGTCCCTTTGGGATTTGGCGGAGAGCATGTATACCCCCTTTTTTTAAAAGGGGAAAAGGGGACAAAAGAAAATAGTAAACTTTTTCCTTTTAAAATTTTTTTACAGGTAAAACCCAGGAAAAGTATAGGGTTTAGGGTTATAATTAAAAGAATTGGGGTAAGACAAAATTGTGGGAATTTGGGGAAAGGAGAAAGGGAAGGTTTCCCAGGTGGGTGGGGGAAAGTGTAGATAAATTTTTTTTTACTTGAAGCATATTTTTTTTTTTTTTTTTTTTTTTTTTTTTTTTTCAAAAAATTCGGCCGCCCCCCCACCGACATATATGTAAACAGATTTAGAAAAAGGGTAGGGAAGTTTTTTTTGCTTTTAAAAGGATTTAAAAAAAGGCATATGAAAATGGATAGAGGAGCAATGTGGCAGATGTTCCCAAAGTTTAGGGAAAAAGGTGGAAAGGGGTTACAAAATTGCGGGTAAAGAGCTTTTTTTGGGGGATATTGAGGCTCGGGTTAGGGTTTGGTAAAAGGGGGGGAGAATATTTCCCCGGTAAAAGTAGGTCTTAAAACGGGATGTGTAATGTCACCATGGTTTTTTTAAATATATTTATAGAGGGGGGTTGTAAAGAAGTAAAATTTCTAGGGTGTTCGGGAGAGGGGGTTTGGGGTTAAAAATTTTGGGGAATCAAATTCAAAAATGGAAATTTACCCCAGTTTTTTTTGCTGATGATACGGTTTTTATGGGAATTCTAAAGAAAAATTGCAAAAGTTAGTGGATGAGTTTTTAAAATTGGTTAAAAATAGAAAGTTAAAGTTGAACATTTGAAAAAAGTAAGGTGAAAGGGTATCCCAAAAGGGTTTAAAATTTAAAAAAAAATTTTGGGTATCAAATTTAGGAGGAGGAAATATTGGGAAAAAGTGGGAATTTTTTTAGATACTTTGGGGGTTGACGTGGCCCGGGGGATGGATTTATGAAGGATAGGTTAAACAAAGAATTATGAGGGAAAAAAAAGGGGGTGGTGCCTTTTAGGTAAAATGGGGAGTCAAAAAAAGTTATCTATGGAGGCAAAGGGGAATGTTTAAAATTAAAAGTAAATTTCCAACACTCTTAAAAGGATGTGAAGCTTGGGTGGTAAATTTCAAACACGAGGAGACGGTTTGGGGGCGTGGAGAAGTCCCGTCTAAGGGGAAAAGTGTGGTGTAAATTTTTATGCAGAAAATTTTGGAGGTGGAAAATTTGGAGAAGGGTGGAGTTAATAAAAACATTATCAAGGGCAGAAGAGGGGGTTGGGTTTAGGTGGGGTTTGGTCATTTTGAGAGAATGGATTTAAAATTTGAAGACATGGAAAGCAATAAATCCCATAGGGGAAGGAAAGGAGGGTAAAAGGGGGCGTCCTCGAAAGGGTTGGGAAAAAGGGGGGGAAAGAAGGTTTTTTTTGGCAGGGGCTTGGACTTCCCGCAAAACGGAAAGAGCGTGTTAGTTTTGGGGTGAAAGGAGACGAATGAAAACTTGGACCTGGGCAATTTTTGGAGTGTGAGCAGGGTAAAATTTGTGAAGGGAATTTAGGGGAAAACCGGTTTTTTTTATAGTCGGACTTGAGTCCTGGGAAAAAAATAAACAAAGCCCGCACTTTAAAGGAAATGGTTTTTGGGGTTTTGGCAGTTTGGGGGATAAGTTGTTTTCTTTTTACGTATATGGGTTCCTAAGCTGTTGTATTCTGAGCACCTCTGCAAAAGCAAATGATTTAAAGTGTTTAGTGTGGGTTGAAAGTGTTGAATGATGATGAAAGTATTTTCTTTTTGGGGATTTTCTTTCTTTTTTGGGTCACCCTGCCTCGGTGGGAGACGACCGACTTGTTGAAAAAAAAAAAAAAAATTATTAATTTAGGGAACTGGAGCACAGATCCAGTTCCCTAGATCAAGAGCGCATCACCACGTACATACAGGTCCTCCATCACAAATCCGGCATCATTGGGACCTGTAGTGTGCCGGATTACTGAGTTTGCCGGATTACATAGTGGTTAGGTTAGAATACACTTAATAAAATAATAATAAAAAATTCGCATGGTGGGGCATTCGTAAGCCGAGGTTCCACTGTATGTATGCCATAGGGACTTGGACAAAGGCATAGTTCGTTGGTTCTACTAGCTGCCTTCTGTTGTGTGGTGATTGCTGATTGGTGGACAACTAAGGTAGAACCCCAGGGACAAATTTTTATAAGGATAATTGAGAGAGAAACTAAGTGTTAGTACCGTACATTAAAAAAGTTTATCTTCTTTTTACATAGAGTAATTTATACTGGAGAAGGGGGTTACTAGCCCATGAGCTGAATCTTTCTTTCTTCTTTCAATGTACCAGCCGTATTCCACCAAGGCAGGGTGGCCCAAAAGGAAAAACGAAAGTTTCTCCTTTCAAATTTAGTAATATATACAGGAGAAGGGGTTACTAGCCCCTTGCTCCCGGCATTTTAGTCGCCTCTTACAACACGTATGGCTTACGGAGGAAGAATTCTGTTCCACTTCCCCATGGAGATAAGAGGAAATAAACAAGAATAAGAACTCGAAAGAAAATAGAAGAAAACCCAGAGGGGTGAGTATATATATGCTTGTACATGTATGTGTAGTGTGACCTAAGTGTAAGAAGAAGGTACCTAGCAGTAAGGATGTTATCTCTTTGTAACATCACCTGGGGAGATGTTAATGAAAAGGCTTTACTGCCAAATTTAGAAAACAAACTCTTTACTTATTTTCATATGTGGCTTTTTTGCATGTTCTGCTGTACACAAAAATGCATTTTTTTTTTTTAGCACATTCTCACCATCACTCATACATAGGATATTGGCAGTTTAGACATCCCTCCAAACTGGCAATATCCTAAACCCCTCCTTTTAAGTGCAGGCATTGTACTTCCAATTTCCAGGACTCTAAGTCCAGCTAACCAGTTTCCCTGATTCAAGGAAACAAAAATATACATG